CTTCTAAGGCTCTGTAATACCATTTGCGGGTTTCCTCTTTTCTGTGTATTGGGGTACGACTCCCGTGACAATAAGGAGTAGCAGAGATCTCAGCTTTCTCCCCGTGCACAGGGGCTGGGATGGGATCAGTGAATGGAGCTGAATTTACATGACATTTACATGAAAAATGGTGTTCGTTGTGGGAGGTGATGTTTTGTACCACATATGAGACTTCCCAAGTCATATATATTGCCACTACTATGAACTCACACACTCTCCCCTACACCAGGTTACACAATGATTGGACACACTTACTATTTGCCACAGGTGACCGGCACGATACATACACACCCACCCACCCACCCACCACCTCTATACGCATGACATACCTTACTTGGGCTGCTCCTGGCAGGGCCGGCCCATGCAGATGTAACATGCATGGGGAGAATGGCAGGCAGCACACATATTATTTCCAACCCATATGACACACTAGGGATTTATGCTGTTGCACTTATACATTACACCAGCCACACTACCCGTGGTACCCCCACACACACATTAGTTAAAGACCAATACACACTGTGTCACTTGCTGATTCCTGCTGGCATTTCACCCATCCAGGAATAGGCACAGGCATACACTTCCACGTTGCAAGAACCATGCTTTTACATATTGGATATGTGTGTGTGTGGTGGACCGCCATCACTGAGTACCATGCCCACTACTCATTTCGGGTGTTTTCCCATGTGTATGGTAAGTTTCCCATGCATTCCTATGTATTTTGCGTAATATGCCATGTTGACTGTTTGAGAGTGCTCATGCGAACGGAACCCATTCGTCTCCTGAATGCGGATCACCCCAGTACCCATTAGAATGCTCACACAAATCAATCAGAATGTTGGCACTTGCATCATAAGTGTGAAACCACAGTGGAAGTAATTAATGCGTGCTCCACTGGGTGGCCGCCATTTGTATAGTCGAACGCCACCTAGGGGGAGCATTCTATCCTGAAAGGAGACTGTTCCCTTGCAGGATCTCTGCACCGGGACTCCACGAACAGGTCCCTGAGGTTGGTGGGGACACTGTTGGGGTACTGGCAGTTCGGATCGCCCTACCTGCTCCCAACGAAGCTATTGCCACTGCCTTCCCCATCCGGGAGTGTTCTCCGTGGGGTGGCCTAAGTGGAGGCAGCCACCGGAGAGAGGCGCAAGCCCCAGCAGAGATCCTGGGGCTGTGCATCAGCTTCACAGCTGCAGAGTCCCGCTGGCCATCTGGAAGTCCGTGCCGACCAATCAGGAGAGAGAGCTCCCATTCAAACTAGGTTCATGCCATTCTACTGATGGGTCAGCACGAGTGAGTGCTGACTGGTCGCTGCAGGGCACAAGGAAAAGGAGCGCCCACTCAAAAGGGGTTTTGTGCCCTTTCTCCTGATTTGGCTGCGAAACCCCTCTCCTTCCCCAACACCGATTGGTGCACATGGATTTTGGGCCCTTTCTCCTGACTGGGCGGAGAAACTCCTCTCCTCCCTGAGTGCTGATTGGCATAAATTGGTTTGCGCCTTTCAGCTGATTGGCTATTGCTTGGTTAAGGAGCCAACTTTGATTTCATCAGACTAAACCAAGCAATACCGTGGAACTGATTTCGGGGATGTACAGAGCCTCGAGCCCCAAAATGTATACAATGGTTTCTTGGGTTCTGTGCATCCGATAACCCCGCTATTTGCAGGGATCCTAACTGGGATCCGAGGCGATTCAGGGATGTATGTTTCATGTGTGTACCCTATTCCCTTCCCGGAGTGCAGAGCCCCTAAGTGTTCCCTATATATGTAATGTGTTTTACTGCTTCTAGTATGTTTTAATGTACGTAACTGTGTCCTGTTGGTGTTTCTCAGAGTGGGAGATGGTTATCTGTAACCCATCCCTCTTCTCCTGCCAGGGACAAAGTGTATTGAAAGAGTGGAGACCCACTGTGAGGGTCTGTGCATAAAAGCTGTGTGTACCAATAAAGGACTGTCAGTGTTTTTACCTTCAGAACTGTGTGAAGGAAGGGGATTAGCAGAGGTAACTGGACTGGTTACCAGGGGATACGCTACAATATATGTATATGTTTGACTTTGCATGTAAATACTCTTTTTTTATTTTCCATGTTTTTATTATTTTCTTTTTCAAATTTTCTCTCACTTCCACATATTATTCTCACAATCTCTGGACACAGACACCACATCCATGGCTATCATTCAAGTAGTCACATTAAACACCAGAGGCCTAAACACCCCAGAGAAACACACCTTAACATTAACTGAATTACATAGAATGAAGGTAGATGTAGCTTTTCTGCAAGGGACCCATTTCTGACAGGGGGCAGCCCTCACCTTAGCAATTCAAAATACCATACTGGCTATTTTAGCAACTATTCAGAATCCAAAACCGAGGAGTAGCAATATTATTGGCAGCTACTTTACTCTTCCAATACCAAGCCCACAAAACAGATGATTTAGGCAGGCTCATCATGGTAAAAGTAGTTGTAGGACAGACAAAGGTCACATTATATTTGCACAATAGAGACCAATGTAAACTTTATAGAGGGTATGTTAATCTTGGGAGGGGAATTCAACATGTCATTGGACACTATCATGAACACAGCACTTACATGCCAACTATCAGCCAGGAAACCGCTAAATGAACTCTTAGACCTAGCCCAACTATATGACAGCTGGCGAATTACACATCCTACTGCAAGAGACTATTTATTTTACTCACCTTCTGCCAACTCATACTCCAGGACTGACATGCTCTTTCTTCCACACATATATCTCCATTTAATCCAAACATGCTGCTATGGCCTCATTACATGGTTGGACCATGCACCCCTGTCTCTTGCCGTTACTATTCCAGGATTACCACACCAACTATCCCATTGGAAATGAAATGATCTGATCCTCAAAGATACTGAGTGTGTTCACTCACTTGACGAGGCACAATCACATTATTTTCTAGACAATTCCTCACCATCCACACCCACCACACTGACATGGGAAGCACACAAATGTGTCCTGAGAGGCATCATTATAGCCATAGCGAGCAAAAAAAAGGAAACAAAGGGAGGCCACTAGGGACGCACTCCTAACAGACATTAGGGACCTCGAGAATAGATAAAAACACCATCTGACACACAAGAGAGCAGAACTCCAGATTCTTTTAAACGCCCAAATCAAATACAAAATGCTATTCACTAAAAACACATATTACTCCCAAGGCAGCAAATGAGGGAGGTTACTAGACAGGGCTCTCCAGCAGAGGAGACAAACCACCTTCATAGTCTCCATTAAAAAAGCTATGGGGTATAACTCATCTACTCTCAGAAATTATGAAGGCTTTTTAGGATAGCTACACATCTCTCTTCAATCTCAGAGACTCCTTACCCTCAGAGGAAAACATTGTCTAATACCAAGAGACCAGAATTAAACATACACTCCCCACACCAATTAGGCAGGTCTTTAACGACCCTATCTCCATAAATGAATATAAAGCAGTGATCAAACAAGTGCCCACAGGCAAAAGTCCGGGATCTGATGAGTTCACAGCCAAATACTTCAAAGTATTTGCTTGTATCCTGCAAAAACCTTTTCTAAAAGCTTTTAATTCACTCACGACCACACATTGACTCACAAACTCTGCACTGGAAGCTCACATTACCTTGCTGCATAAACTGGTTAAAGACCCCACCAAATGCGGCAGCTTTCACCCTATCTCCTTAATAAATATAGACCTGAAACTATTGACCAAAATATTAGCCAATCGCTTACGCCCACTAATGCAGACACTGATTCACCCTGATCAGGCAGGTTTCATAACTGGAAGAGAAGCAAAAAATAATACCACTAAACTGCTCAACCTAATTTATCTATTAAAACTATCGACTGAACAGAGCCTATTGCTCTCATTTGATGCAGAGAAGGTTTTTGGCAGGGTGGATTGGTCAATACTTTTCACTACATTGCAGGCAATGGGGTTTGGACCAAATTGGATAGAATGGATTAGAACAATATACTCAGAACCAACAGCCAAACTGAAAATCAATGGCCGACTATCTGACGCAGTGGATATCAGAAACAGCACAAGACAGGGTTGCCCTCTCTCTCCTCTCCTATTCATATTAATCATGGAACCCTTTCTCCAGGGTATAAGAGATAACCCCCAAATACAAGGGATAATATCAGCACAGGAAGAACACAAACTAGCGGCATTTGCCAAAGATTTACTCTAATCATAGATCCACTGAGCACTATACCACACCCAATCGATGAAATCAGGCTCTATAGTGAACTGTCCAACTTTAAAGTCAACTTTACTAGAAGTGAGATCCTAGCGCTCAATGTACATCCCAATCAACAACACCTCTTAATGCAACAGTTTCCATTCAAATGGGCCTCTGAGGACATTAAATATCTAGGAGTGATACTCCCACATGCTTTATCCTGACTATATGAACTAAATTTCCCAACTCTACTGAGGGATGTTTCCAATTTGGCTGGCTATGCTTGATTAACATTCTCAAAATGAATGCTCTTCCAAGCATAATGTACCTCTTGCAAGTACTACCAATACTACTCCCCAAATCCTTTTTTCACAAAGTAAGATGACAATTTACTTCCTTTATCAGGGCCTCTGAGTACCCCAGTGTGCCATATGACATCCTGACTAGACCCAAAGCTATGGGAGGTCTGGGATTATCAGATATCGAAATATATAAAAAAAACAACTTGTCTGTCACAGACCTATGAGTGGTCAAACCCAAACTTGATGAAACAGTAGATTTGCATAGAGGCGACCATGTTCCAAACCCCTATCCATACCATACCCTGGCATTAATTGGGGAAATCATTCTTACTAACCCAACATAGCACACACCCGACCATAGTACCCACATTAAAATGATGGCAGGGAATGTGTCCACTGACATCACTTTCTCCACACCCATCTCCACTTTACCCATTGACTGTGAACCCACTGCTCCCAGGCATGTCCCCCGGAGCTCACAACTCCTTCTCCCCATCCCATTGCCTTACACTAGGAACCGCCCACCAAACATTGGAATTAACTCCTCTCAAAGAGTTCATAAACACGGACACACTGTCCTCTCTACAAACATTTAGATACAACCAACTTATCCACTTCCTCAACTCCAAACCAGACTGTATAGTCAAAGCTCGAACACAATCAAAATTTGAGACCTACTGCACACTCCACAAGCTCTCCAACAAACAACTATTCACCGTCAATGCTCTACTACATCAGGACCATACTTACAAGCATGGTCAAAGGATCTTAATATTCACATGACTCAAAAGGATTGGTCAGACACTTTCAACCGAACACACAAACTATTTATACCAACATTCAAGAGGAAAATTTTAAAAGAATAGCGAGATGGCATTATTCACCATCACACATCCACAGATTTTTTCCAACGACAGCAGACCGGTGCTGGAGATGCCTACAACCACAAGGCACACTAACACATATATAGTGGAAATGCTCTATTATTTATCTCTATTGGGCCAAATTTGCAAAAATCATACAACCCATCACATCCATTCCAATTTCCCTAGAGCCCAAAGTGGTTCTTTTTCGCCTCATCACAACCCCACAATGCAAACCAACTCACAAGTTAACTATACACCCACTCACAGCAGCCAATCTATTAATTCCACTGTTCTGGAAAAAACTAGAAGCACCCACAATACGAGACAGGATTCAAAAAGTGTTATCCATTCGCATAATGTAAGAACTGAATGCCTCTATATTACATAAATACACATTCCATCAAGCTATATGGAATCCATGGTTGACATTTCTTCAAAACAAGCAAGACTACTACATATAAAGGGCTTAGTTACATATCCATCACCATCTGATACAGTGACCACCTAAACCATGCTACATAAACTAATATCACACTGGGCGACACCCTTATAACACCTGATTTTGCTATTTGTCTTCTGCGACTCCTTTAAATACATACACTCTTAGGCTCCCCCCACCCTACACCCCTACCTGGCTGGCAATGACGGAGATCGTACAATCATCAAGATATTTTAATGCTAGAGATGCAATGACCATATTAACCTGTTTACTCTAAAACAAATTTGAAGTTCACTGATTGGAGTGCCTCTCTGGGGTTTCCAATGTTTAATACTCATAATTATTGATGTATGTATTATTTAGACATGTGCAATTCGTTTCATTCTGAATGTAAATTCGGACGAATTTCGGACTATTCGGACATTCGGATACTTCCGAATGTCCGCATAGCTGAATTGCCAAATTTCTGAAGTGTCGAAGTTCCAAAGTTCCCGGAGTGCTGAAGTGCAGAAGTTCCGAAGTTGCCGAAGTTCTGAAGTGTCGAAGTGCCGAAGTTCCGAAGTACCGAACCAAACTGAAATGCCGAAGTCCTGAAGTTCCGAAGTGTCAAATTGCCGAAGTCCCGAATTTTGGAATGCCGAACCAAATATTTTCCCCATGCACATCCCTAGTATTATTGTCTCTTTTTACAAATGTTGTAAACAGAATAATTGATAATACATTTTTTTTAAAAATGCATCAACGTTATCATGGTGGCGTTTTTCCTCTCATCACTGGTCCCAGCTGTGATTTTTAAATCTAAAGAAATAAAGATATTCTTTTTTAAATTAATTTGCACAGTTCGGGCATTGCATTTTTCTTCCAGGGGTTTTGGTATGTCTGCTTACATGTTTTTGTTGCATTTTAATGTTTATAAATTACTAATTTGGAAACTATAATATGATATTAATAATAACATAACAAAGCAAAACTGTTTCACAGCAAAGATTTTTACAAAAATTATTAAAAGGTAATATAAATATTTCCTCATCTGATGGCAGTTTGTCATGAGCACACCACTATGGTTAGACATTTTCCTCATTCTAATCAGTCCCCTGGTAGTCAGCCTTCATCCTGCATACTGCACCCTCCTTGACTCTTCTCTCTTTAGCTCTGCCAAATAGAATTATTCAAGGTGAAAAGATTTGGTTCAGCCAAATCACTTGATCCCTAAAATAAAATATAGCTTATGTAGTCGTATAGTGATCCATCTGTTTGTCACCCGGATATCATCCATGAAAAATATTCAGAGAAATAATTTAGGTGAACAAAGAATGACCAACTTGTGTAATACAAAATATATACGTAATATAAATGTTATGTATATATTTTGCAGTACACTGACAGGTGCATTTTTTGCCATTTGGTTCACAGATCAAGTGAGAAAAAGTAACATATAGAGAGAAAAATAGGAGGAGCAGTAATAACATCTGTATTCATACATTTAAATATTATATAGTTATAAAATATAAAATATACATTATACATTGTATTACTACTTTCTCTCTGTTGGTTACTTCTTACTTGAGTGTGAATAAAATCAATATTTAGTGGCTGTCCCCTAGAAAGCAATGATAATTTTCCCACCAATTATCTCTTATTTTTTGGTGTCATAGGCATAATTCAGAAGCATGCATCAAATGAGAATGCTTACCCTTTGCTCAAGTCATTTATTCAGGTAAAACTCTATATGGTGCTAGACATGTTATGGAATTCGGACAACCCAATGATTGATCTAAATTTGGACAAATTGCAATCCATAATTATTAATCCAATTTTCCATCACTTTTAGAGAAAACTATTTAGAGGAGGAAGATATAAGGAAAATCATGTAGTTTAATAATAATATTAACCTACATCCCCTTCTATATAAGGATGGCAGAAAGATAAATGGTTTTCGTGTTTTGTATTAGGAGTTTTGAAAAATGCACTATTTGAATCAGTCTTCCACCACACAAAATGGGAAATAGTATTGTAGAAATCTTGAGAGCTAGTGGGGAGAGGTTAAAGAAACTCCCCTTGCAGAGAGGAGTGCCAGACAAAGGAAACTGACAAAGTTTATTGTAAGTTAACTAATGTTTAGTACATATTTTTCAAATTTGTCTTGCTTTATTTTATTTTGTATATTTGTATAAAAGTGTTTGCTTACTGGTTTAAAAAAAAAAATGTCAAGTGATGCCTGTTGATTAAATTGATTGCCTACAAATAGAACTGCAAACAATTGTTCGAAGTATATAATAATAATAGTATTATATACTAAGAATAAAACTGGGGGAAGAAAAATAGCTAATTTAAATGTCAAATGATATAATATTATGTTTGCATTTAATTGTCCTGGATTGTTTTATATTTATGTTAATTTGGATTATTTTTATTATTGATGTTTTATTAATTCATCAAACATTATTTTCATGAAAACCAGGAAGGAATAAACAACAGAAATCTTTATATGTCATGCTATGTACGTTGATATGATAGTCTTCAATGCTTCGACATAAAATAATAAAGTTTATCTGATCAATATCAAGTTCCACTTTCAATTTCATTACATGCATATATTTCATAAACAATCATATTGTTCTAATATTTCATTTCTTTTTCATTTATTCCACACTGAGAGCTGAAATGACCTTATTCAATTGTACATATGTCAAATGTATCCAAAAGTGTTTTCCAATAGACAGAAGGGTTAGATGAAACATACAGAATCATTTTATTTTCAAGGGATCCTGCTGGGTTTAGAGTAGTTTATCTGACTTTATAACGATGGATTGGAAGATGAAAAAAAAAAAGGATTCTTTTCACATTTTAATCTACAGTTTGTTGGTATCAGAAACAATAGGCTTTTTGTATTGCAGTACTTTTATAACTATGAAGATCAGTGACAGAATATTAAAATATGTATTTTTTTTTATGTATATATGTTAAAAGTTGTGATATATATAGATTACTTTATTATATAAATATATAACGAAAAACAATTCAATTAGCAAAATATTTTTACTAGAAACTTGCAATTGTCTTGGTTATTTTATCACCTTTACTAATCAGATGTTGTTTTCCTTATTATTTTACCACCTCTAGCAATATGATGTTTATCAAGCTTTGAAAATGAATACATATAAACAGCAAACTGATGAATATAGATTAATCATTTCTATGTTTATAAAAGTGTGTGTTTACTAATAATGAGAGGGTTTTTTGTTGTTGTTTTTTATATCAGACTGGTACCTTCAGACACCTCTAGCATTTTACACCCTTGCAATTTTGTCTGCCTCATCCTATTCTCTTATACCCTCTAATGTTTAATATCCTGGCAGCTAAACTCACTAAGTATCTTCATAAAGCCATTATCCATTCACAATCCAGCAGCTATCTTTATCTGGTATCCTCAAACCCCTTGACACCATGGCAGCTAAACTCTCCTGATATAGTCCCACCCCCATTAACACACAGCAGTTGTGTCTATTTGCATATCTTCAAACGGATCACCTGGCACCCCGACTGGGTACCTCCGTTGAAGGATGCTCCTAGTGCTTCCTGAGGACTCCAAGCACTGCAGCAGACAACACAACCACCGAACCGGAGAAGCATACGGATGCTCTCAAGCATATGAATGCTGTAAGAAGCTGAACAGCATACAATCAGCTTACACTCCTGGCAATCAGCATACCAATTCCCCCAATAACGAGACGACACTTCGTTTTGAGGTCAAGCAGAACTGACTGTACTGGCACATACAGCCTCTTTTAGTCACAATCCACAAACATAGTACTGCCCACAGGGTTTTGAAATCCAACCAATCAATCCGTACAATACACACAGACACTCCCACACAAAATCCTCCCCTCTGCCTGTGATATGATTACTGAACACAAAGGTTAATCTAATTATCACAGTCAGAAAAATACAGTTTTATCAAACATATCACAGGGACCCCAAAACATGCAATAACCCCATAAAAAGTATATCCTCGGAACCAGGGGGACCTGGGAGAACCAAATATCCAAAATTCACCCAGATCCATTCAGTAGTTTGGAAGATACAGTTTAATGCAGATTCCGCAGAACATATACAGGCTATATGAAAAATAATTACTGTATAATGTGTCCCCTGTTGTATAGTTTAAAACTACTGCACGATGTCTTTGTGCACCAAATACCGGCGAGATGGCACCGTGTAGAAAAGTCCAAACAGTGTCTGTGAGCTTAAATGGCCGCCATCCATTGTTCTCACCATGTGCTTCATCCATTGTTCTCACCATGTGCCTCTGATACATGAAATGGCCACCCATTAACTCCACAGTATGTCCCCAGATGGTTCTTAAAGGGCCAGCAGCAGCATAATAAAATCAAGTATGCCCACATCAGTTCCTAGAAGGGCAATACAACCCAGGGCCATAGTCGCAGGGCAGGAGGCTGGCAAACAGGCCCCTCCAA